TGGTAGGGGAGCTCTGGGGGGGGCTCCAGGGAATAGGGGATGGTGGGGGTGGGGGGAACAGGGGACGGTGGGGGGGCTCCGGGGGGGTCTCACTACTCTCAGCCCGGCGCAGCGTGGCTCTGAACTCCTCATAGGCCGGGGGGGGCCGGGCCAGGCACTGGAAGAGCCCCTGATAGTCCGGCTGCGGCAGGGAGCCCAGCAGCCCATCTCCCAGGCGTCGGGCCTGCAGGTAGCTCTGCTTGGAGAGAGACAGCACCTCCCCCGCCTGGGCCAGCGCTTGCCCCGCATGGAAACAGGCCAGCTGGTGGGGAGGGGGATGGTCAGAGCCTGGACACCCCTTTAGGCACCCCCCAGACACCCCCAGACACCCGCCCAATGGAACCCCCTAGGGACACCGCACTCACATCCCCTATAGACCCCACTATGGAAATACCTATAGACGCCTCTATACGTCCCCTCGAACACTGACACAACCATATACCGCTGTATAAACACCCCCGTATACATCCCCTATAGACACCCCTATGGAAATCCCTATAGACACCTCTATACATCCCCCCAGACACCGACACAACCATATACCTCTGTATAAACACCCCCATACACATCCCCTATAGACACCCCTGTGGAAATACCTATAGACATTTATATAAATCCCCCCAGACACCGACACAACCATATACCTCTGTATAAACACCCGCATACACATCCCCTATAGACACCCCTATGGAAATACCTATAGACAACTCTATACGCCCCCCCAGAACACTGTCACAACCATATACCTCTGTATAAACACCCCCATATACATCCCCTATAGACACCTCTATGGAAATCCCTATAGACACCTCTATACATCCCCCCAGACACGGACACAACCATATACCTCTGTATAGACACCCCCATACACATCCCCTATAGACACCCCTATGGAAATCCCTATAGACACCTCTATACATCCCCCCAGACACGGACACAACCATATACCTCTGTATAGACACCCCCATACACATCCCCTATAGACACCCCTATGGAAATCCCTATAGACACCTCTATACATCCCCCCAGACACGGACACAACCATATACCTCTGTATAGACACCCCCATACACATCCCCTATAGACATCCCTAAAGCTGCCCCATAGAGATCACCTATAGACATGGCTCCATAGAAACATAGACACCCCCTGGACAGCCGAGACACCCCCCTATAGCCCCCAAGGCACCTTGAAACACAGCCCGCAAGCACCCCCAGTGGACCCCCCCCAGACAGGCCTAAACCCCCCAACTGCGACACCCCCTAACTGCTCCCTTTAGCCCCCCCATCAGCTCCTAGCTCCTGGGGTAGTGGGGAGAGATTGGGCTGGGGAATGGGACCCAGGCGTCCGGGTAGGTACCTGGGCAGATTTCTGGGCCTCTCCAGCCCTGTGCACCAGCCGGGCGGTGCTGGCCAGGGTGCTCACCAGCAGCTCGGCCCTCTCTGCCGACATGGCGAGGGGGGTCCCCTGGGGGGCGCAGGGGGGAGGGGAGTGGGTGGGGGTCGAGGCTGCACCCTGCTCCATGGCTCCTAGAGCCAATAACCTGGGGGAGAGAGAGA